TTTCACACATTTGTATGCATAATTTAATCTAATTTATTTGCCGCTATTAAATTTACGACAGATAGCAACATGTAAATGGAGAACAAGAAGGCAAAAAATGAAGCAAATGATGCTCCAAAAATGATTAAAAAAACGTAAATGAGACTCAAACTAGATGAATATAAATAAAATTTTATATTGTATATAAATATAAACAAAGTTTTATCGAAATTATATATAGCTCTGTGTTACCAGTTTGGGTTAGGTTGGACTGAATTATGACTTATCCAATTTCAACTCTACTAATTGGGTTGTTTATGGGTTGAGTTACGGTTTTTATATACAACCTTAGATCTAACTCTGCAAATGCGTTCTACTTGAGCTTGAACTCCAAATGTCAAAGTGTCTGAAAGTCTCAGGTTCAAATCCAAGCAGGAATAAAAATCCCTTTGTGGTCATGGAGGTTCAAATGCGGAGACTCCGGCTTACCCGCAAAGCATGTGGTCGCTCTGGGATTAGTCGGCTCGCATATCGGGATATCCAGGTTAATAAAAAAAACTATAAACAGATATTTGAGTTGGTGAGTTATTGAAATCGAATACTTCAAAGCTCAAAATCAAACAATTTTTATGTTCTCAAATCCTAATTTCTAATGTTGCAATGATTAACAAATACAATGTAACATAAATGTTTAAAAGTGTGTTTATTTGAACCAGTTGCGAACGCATTGGTGAGGACTAGGGTCGGTTAAGGCTCGTTAACAACTCAATTAGACCCGATATCTGTCAACATGCTAATATCATTTTGAAAACCAATTAACCGTTAATGTACGAGCAACTCATAAGTTGTATTTCATTATTCGTAATGATTCTTATATGGTCCCACGATCTTTTTGTAAGACAATCTTCCATAATAGATGTTAATCTTGTTAATTAGCAAATAGGGCAAAAATCCATGACAATTTAGCACAACACTTGATAGAAATGATGTTAACCGATAAGATCGTAAGAAATCAGTACATAGCATATTCTAGCCGAATATTGGATGAATTTACGTATGTTTTATTCTTTTGTTGTTTGAAGCGGAGTTCCTGATTCCTTTGGCTGTCACAGAATATGGTGCCGATGCTGATTTGAGAGAGGGTGATTTGTCGATGTATGCATACCGTTCATTGCCATTCCAATGTAAAATTATCCGATTTGTGGAGGCATGCGACCAACTATCACCTATATATAAGTTTAAGAAACCGATATAACATAAAGTAAGAACCTAATGAAAGGGCCTTTGATCTAGTAATATCTGGGTTACCGGTAGAACCCAATCTTCAAGAGGTCAGAAGTTCAAACCTCACCAAATGTGAGAAGGGTGTGTGAGTTTATTTGTTGTATATAAATATTATATATATATATATGTATATATATATATATTGAAAAAAAAAAGTAAGAAGCCAAGAAGGAAAGCAAAGTGTTTGATGTTGCCCAAGAGGAAACAGATTACAGATTTAGAAGTTACCAAGTGCAAGTGCTAAATGGAATGAACCATCTGAATACTTGGTGGTCACCTGATTCAGTAGAACAACCTGCACAAAAGGAAACAGAAAGATTCAGCCCCACAAAAGCAAAAATCAAACGAGCCCAGTATATCCTAGACAGAGGTAGGGTCTGCAGGTAGGATGTATTCAGACCTTGCTGCCACCCAAGGGGTAGAAAGGTTGTTTAAATGAATGCGGCTAGAGATGGGCATAAGGACCAGAGCCTTTGGTGCAGACCATGACGGCATCGGGTCAGATCATACCAGACAACTGGTCCTTAATCGGTCCAAACCTTTCAGACAAATTGGTCTCTTTTAGAACCGTATAAAAACCGGATCAGATAAAAATTGGACCAGACCAACAAGGATACAATGAACAACACGTAGAAGGGACTTGAGATAAAACCGAGGAAATCTAAAGCAGGTAAAACTAAAACTACTACATCAGGCAGATAAAACTAACGATAATACAGGAAAAGCAGGAAAAACTAAGCCTAGCATACACAAGACATGCAAAATAGGGATTCACCCCCCCTCACACAATACAAATGTCATCATGAACCAAAAACGACTAGCAACAGAAAGAAAAGGGATTTTGGCATTAGATTCCACCCAATTGCCAGTATGCACATTCTATAACACATAGAAAACATAACATGAGACCTTTGGCTTTCTAGGTGTGTTATGTAATTGAGCATTTAGGACTTTTGGGAAGAGTGGTGCAAAGTTCAGTTGATAGTATAACCAAGTGTTTGTCTGATTAGAAAAAGGAACATTTAACCAACTTTCAGCAATGGTTGCTGACACAAATGTTGACAATATGTATGAAATGAAGCTATATAAACCATCATTACCTTTTTCTAAGTTCAATATGCCCAAAGAGAAACCACCACCAAGTTTATACTTTTCGGTGTACCAAAATACATCATATAATAGTTACTTCGGGCCTCAAAAAGCGTCAACTCATTCCTAATAGGACATTTAGTGGATCATGATAAGAGAAGTATGGTGATTATTCTTACCGCCACACTAAATTTTCTGGCAAGTTTCATCAACTTTAAAGCCATTCCACTGAGTAATCGAGTTCTAAGAGCCATGTCATCAAAATCTTGACGGAAGTGAAATGTGACGCTATCAACGATAACCACCTTAACCTGTAAAAACATTCAGGAGATGAAACGTTTCATGAGGCTAAAGTTCTACACCACATTCAAGTAAAAATCTTAGGTGTTGGTTGGTTCACAAAATTCAAAGGAAATCAAACGAATTAAAATGATCAATTCCTTTGACCCAATTTCAATTCCTTTGTTTGGTTCACATATTGAAATTGATAGAATCCTTTAAATTCCTTTGAATTCCACAAATTAATGAATTTATCATTCCTTGGCATAAGTGAAGGAATTGAATTCCATCCCTTTGCATCCAATTTAACCAACACCACCCACCCCCTGCCTGCACCACGACCATGCTACTACTGTTTCACCCCCACCCCTACCCCCCCACCATATTGTCGCCGTCAAGCGCCACTCACCCCCACCCCACCACTAACCACCAAGCCACTACCATTGTCGTCACACCCACCCACCCCCACACACGCATCCCTGCCCACCCCACCGACCACCATGTCAATACTGTCGGCATCACAGCTACAATTCCACCTCACCAACCACCATGACACTACTGTCGTCATTACAATTACCACCACCCACACCCACCCCCACCTCGCCCCTGCCCACCGATCACCATGCAATTACTGTCGTCATCACAACTACAACCGCACACCCCCACCCCCCCTCCCTTACACCCCACCCACCCCGACCTCACCGTGGGTGCTATGGCAACAATAGTAATGGCATGGTGGTCTGTTGGGTGGGGCAGAGGCAGGGGCGAGGTGGGGGTGGTAGCTGTGATAACGACAAACCATAGGTGGCAGAGCAGGTGGAGGAGGCAGAGCAGGGTGGTAGCTGTGATGACGACAATAGTGGCATGGTAGTCGGTGGGGTCCAGGCTACCACTGTCGTCATCACAGTTGCCACCTCCACCCTCCCCCAAACAAATATGGAGATTCCAATTCTTTTGAGAGATTCCATTCCAATTCTTACCAACCAAACGTGTGGTCAACTTCCATCAAATTCCATTCCAATTCCTTCAAAGTCAAATTCCTTTGATGTATTCTAATTCCATTCTCCGAACAAAACGCCCCCTTAGTATAAATAAACAAGGCTTTGAAATTTCGCAACAAAACCAATGATCCACCCAACATTTGACAATTCTATATATTCTTACAATGAAAGAAAGAACTTGGAGGGGAGGTTAAAATCAAGGAACAATAGAAGCAACTATTCATCCACTTACAAATAGAAAATGAAAACAGTTCCTTTTGTATCGTAGAGTTAGGGCTGTTTGACAGAAAGATTTGATGCAGAATGAAAAATACCCATATGTTAAGTGTTCTGAATGCCAACATGACACAAAATTTACCATTTTAACCCTATATATTATTTAATAAAATATGCTTGTTTGAAAAAAATCTAAATTAATAAAACTTCATCTTTATAAGGGTCATAATAGAGACAGAGCATCCACTAAATATTCTTTAAGTAATTGTAATAAGGGACATAATAGATACATGCATGTGTGAAGAAAAATTTGAAATGTGTATTTGTACCTACATCTTTATGCTCTGTGATAAACTTCTCTAAGTAATTGACCAGTGCAATTTGCTCAGTATAACTGCAGACTCGGAAGTAAAATATATTCTCAAGAAAATCTTTGGGCTGCCTCTTAACTTCACAAGCTTGAGACCCCTTCCTGTACAAGCAACTGTATTCTACCATGTCAGCACTACAAGCTTCTGCAATCTGTAAAGCACGTTCAACCATGAAGCTGCCTTCGGTATCTAAGATCAAAAGGTACGATGTTAATCTTTCACAAGATTGTGATAAATGCTAACAAACAACAACCACAGGGGATAAGGAACTTACCAATATAAATTGCTTTGCCTCCAAGTCCACCATAATCAGATGGGATCTGAACATTTACTGCAAGTTGAATTCTGTATCACGTGTTAGCAAGAACTGATTACATTTGGTAGGAAGGACAGGACAGAACATAAACGTGTTGTCCCATTTGGTGCGGCATTTAGACTGGGACAGGACTGAGTGGGACCACAAGCATGTTTTTGTCCCACCAAAATAGGTGGAACAAAAATCAGGGAGATGGGACAAGAATGATAGATTACTACCCTAGCCATGTCAAATTAAAACCGTAAAACCTTGCACAATTCTTTCACCCACCAACCTCACTCTCGTCCGTCCAGTCCAGTCTTGTCTGCGTACCAAACACACGGAACACAAAAACACCACAAAAGAAAGCCAATTGTGTCAACAATATAGTATGCTAGTAATTGATACCCCAGTTGAGTTTTACCAATGCCTGGAACTCCACCTAAATCAGGAAAAAAGAAACAAATCTTTAACATAAACAACGTAGCCCTCTAATAATAGGAAACTGAAAAACATCCTTGAGGATATGACTGCAAGAGTATCTATAAATTAACCAACCAATTTCAGTAACTTCTTTGCAACTTATTCCTCCACCCAAAATGTCATCCAAATCTGCACATGACGTGGTAATACGTACAAGGGTTTTCTCTTCCTGCAGCATATCCCAGGCATTCTGGGAACCTACAAGAAATGGTAACCATAATGATGGTCATATACTTTAGCAAATTTTCTCATAAACATGGCTCAGCTTCGAAAAAGAATAGATTTGATACACGGATTTTGGGTTAGCAGTTCAATAATTATTCAATATGACCAACATTAACATGGGCAAGGTATTCAAGGTTAAGGTGTAGCACAGGAGTGGAAATGAGATGAAGAATTAGTTGAAGTTTAAATTGGTCTTAAGGAAATCCAGCGGTATAACTTTATATGCTAATTGTGCATCTCATGTTATCTTTTATTGTTTATCGTGTTGTTAGTTCCTGTGATACAGGATTGTCTAGCTATTTAGGATATAGTTCTTGTTATACAAGATTAGTGGTTACCTATTAGTTTGGTGGTAGTAATGATTTTCCATTCCTCATATAGTAAGTTGAAAACAAAAGGAAACCAATCTGAATTTTATCTCAAATGGTGCTTATGATACCATAGACGACTTCAAGATGCCTAGAAAGTTGCCTTAAGCATCTTGTAGTTAAGCTTCATAACAGCGTATTTAAACTTCATAACAGCAATGAGAAAAATGGATCTGCCTCCTTGGACTTTCACAGCAAACAAGAAGAGCGAATTGGCGATTCTGCGTAGCAGAGATAGATAATCAAAGGCTTAGAAGTGTTCAATAACAATGAGGATTGAAGATTTCATCATGGTTTAAGGTAGTGTACCTTTTCCAATTCTTGATCGTTTTTAATACACTTGAATAGATAAACTTTTGACTTTGCTAATGTTCGATTTGAATTTCATTATGGGCTAAGTTCTTTTTAGTTAGGGATGTTATGAATGTTGGTTTGAAGCTATGACTAAATGAAATTTTGGTGCTTTTCATATGTTCTACTAAAGAATTGCGCTTAAACACTTGCACCTAATGAGTTGAATGTAATGGCTGCCGAGAGGTGCTGTGCAATAAGAATTAGAGTTTCTAAGCCTAAGGTGAGAAATCAGATACAAATTGTTAAGGTTAAATCTTTCTTGCATTTGAGGTATCCCTGCACTTAAGGAACCTTGTGGTTATGTGTACTAATTGAGAGATTTAATACAGTAATCAGGAAAGTATTTTTATTACACCTCAAAGAGGGCAGTGGGAACATTTTTTTTTTTTTTTGATTAACCTAGATATCCAACCCGCTATGCGAGCCGACTAATCCCAGGGCAACCACCAGCCCAGAGTCGCCGCATTTGAACCTCCATGGCCACAAGGGAATTTTTATTCCTCCTTGGATTTGAACCTGTGACCTCCTAGTACTTTTGACCTTTGGAGCCAAGTTCAAACCAATCAGGCACCACCCTTGTGGTTAGTAGTGGGAACATTGGAGTTTACTACATTTGATTATTAGTCTGGTACTGATCTGAAACCGAAATTTATATACCATAGTGGAAAATGGAATGGAAACCAATTGAAGCCCGACCCTAACTGCTTCATTCCTTGAGTTCAACCCATACATCTCCTTACATCATTAGACAAACATTGTTGCATGGTTTAATTTAGTAGTAATCGATTACTTGAAATCATCAGGGTTTAGCTAGTAGTCTTTATAACCCATTTTGGTACTTAACTACTTGGTCCCTATGGAGATGAAAGAACATGCTCCTTATTACTTTTCACAATATCGTGCTCTTATCAGAAGTCATTTACCGTGGGCTACAATATTGTCTAAAAAAAACTAATCTGCAAACTATTTGCATCAAATTACTGAAACTTTTAATTGGCTGCATGAATTTATTTCAAAATTGATCATATAATTTGGTTAAGTGATCTCTTAGAGGTTTGTAGACATGAGACTAGGGCACTAGAGTTAAGCGTAGAAATCTATTATACCTAGCATGGATAGGAGAAAGGAGTTAGTGAGGTTGAGGGTGGGACGAGGAGGGGTTGGGAGCAAGAGAGGTTATGGCATCTGATAAAGGCCCAATTAAAGTATATGTGAGAAGAAGGAAACATGCCACAGCTGCCGATATGGGCTAGCTGAATTATGTTCTTGGGCTTAAGCTGGATCCGCTCGGTCTAGAAGTTAGCGGTAATTTAAAAGAGTGGGGAGCAGTTACTATGCCTAATTATTAGCGGGAAGATGAAAGGGCGAGGAGCAGTTACTATGCCTAATTATTAGCGGGAAGATGAAAGGGTGAGGAGCTATTCCTCTACCTACTTTCAGGGAAGCCATTAAATGTCGTGGGTTATTAAAAGCAGGCTTTTTACTTTCATTATTTCTCATTCTTGTTTTTCATAATCAAAGTATTGTGTACTCGAATCGGGCCGTTTATTTCAGTTCCAATCAAAGTTGCCTGCTTGAATTTTAGATCTTATCATTTGGTTCCATTGTCGGGAAATTCGAAGATGGTTCAAACCCGGAGCGGTTCTGAGAGCAGCGGCTCAAACCCAGACCAAATCACTGCTCAATTGGCAGCCATTGCTTCAAAATTGGAGTCCATCGATTCAATGATGGAAGACATTGCAACCTTGAAAGGAGACCGATCCCAAGGCAGTAAGGGTGACGATGCGGATAGCTCGTGGAGGGGACGAACTTGATACAGACCCTACAACAAAATTGATTTTCCTATTTTTAATGGAGGGGATCCACGTGGTTGGATACTAAAGGCGGAAAAGTATTTTCGGTATTATCAGATACCTGATGTAGAGAAGGTAGAAATCGCCTCCATGCACCTAGAGGGAAACGCCTTAGACCTCTATTCTTGGCTTTCAGATGATCAATCTTTGACTTTTTGGGAAGAGTTGGTGCAAACCTTCACCAAAAACTTCGGTCCAGCCGAGTTTCAAAATCCAGATGAATACCTCTGCAGTATCAAACAGACTGCATCGGTATAGGAATACCGTCAAGAATTCGCCAAGCGATCTTCGCGGGTTTCGAACTGGCCAGACCACTGTTTGTTAGGGGTTTTCCTCAACAGGTTGAAGGAGGAATTAAAAGCTGATGTGAGAATACACAAACCACGAACCGTTTACAACGCTATAAGTCTTGCCTTGGAATTTGAGTCCAAATCCAACCAGCACCGACCTGGAAAGAGTCCTACCGGGGCGGCAAATTTCAAACCACCGCCACCACTTGATTCCAAAACCGTTACCCCTTACATCCCCCAACCCTCTAACCAACTAAAAACTCCGTTCAGAATTTCAGACACCGAAAAACAAAACCGTTATTTAAGGGGTGAGTGCTTTAAATGTGGGGAGAAATATGGCCCGGGGCATAGATGTAAARCKKGTACCTTGAAACTATTAGAAGCCGATGAGGACTTAGTGGAGCAACAGGAAACTAAAATTCGTAATTCTGATGAGATTCAAGAGGAGACAGCAGGGATCAGCTTGCATGCTATTCTCGGGAAATCGCATTCGCATCCCACAACGATGAAAGTCCATGGTATGTTGAATTCTACCGAGGTTTTAATTTAAGTGATGCGGGGTCTGTTGGAAAAAAGAAAAAAGGAAATGATTTGTCAAATATCACCTCCCAAATTCAAGGATCAATCACGATCTGTTACAGCCATTCTCCAGCCTAGAATCATGCACAACCTTTCCTTGTATGTCATTTGTGTCCTATAAATGTTGCTTCCAATGTATTGTAATATACACACACAAAAAAAAACCAAATCAATAAAAGAATTTCTGCCCTCTGATTGACATTATGGTATCAGAGCAGTAAGACGTTCCAGACCCAACTATTCCAAACTCATCTTCTACCCAAAACCAAGCCGCCATGTCCGAAGACGGTAGCTCGAATAATAGCAACAATGATCTTACCGCACAATTTACAAACCTTTTCAAAACAACCTTCAATAACCAGAATCAAACCACGAAACAGAGTTTATCCGATAGCTTGAAGATCAGTCTCAAGCTTAACAGCCAGAATTACGCCCTTTGGGCTCGGATGATCCGAGTTGTGATTGGGGGAAATCCAAAAGTTTGTTAAGCCATCTTTCGGGTGATCCCGCACCGCCAGATCCATTAGACGACCGGTACGAGCAATGGGAACAAGATGATTTAATCGTGTTCTCATGGCTAATACAAAACATTGAACCTGCAATTGCTAGCAATCTCACCGAGTTTCCCACGGCAAAAACCCTGTGGGATGCCTTGGTGGTTACATACAGTATCGGGAAGGATAAGTTACAGACCTTCGACCTACAAGTCAAAGCAAATGAAATCAAGCAGAATGGGGATCCTCTTGAAGATTTTTAGATAGCCTTGCAAGGCATATGGGGTGAAATCGAGAGAAGAGATCTGAATCCAATGAAGTGTGCCATCGATATAGCCACATACAATAGTATCAGGTTTGAACAAAAACTCTTCCAATTTTTAAATGTCGTGGATCGAAGATATGACCCTATCAAACGGGATATCCTTCGATGGGATCCGTTTCCCTCGGCAGAGGGGGCCTACGCGGCTGTTCGAAAAGAGATGGCTCACCAAGGAATCCTTGGAGCCACCACTGAAAACCCACTGCCTGGCGTGAAAAACGACGAAGGGGCAACACCGCAGATCTGACTCCTTTGGAAAACCTCCATCCCGAGTAGATAAATCAAAACTAAACTGCAGTCACTGTGGTATGTTGAAGCACACTAAAGATCAGTGTTTTAAACTGGTCGGTTACCCTGAATGGTGGAATGATGACCACAAGAAAACTGGTGTTCCGGCTGAGAAAGGGAAGGCGGCTGCCGTCGTGGGTGCCGGCACCGACGACAATCAGATGCAAGGGGGCTTTGGTGGTATCGCCACCTCTGGTGTGAAAAACGACGAAGGAAATGCAGGTAAAGGGTTTGGGGCTTTATCCTCAGACCCTTGTTTATTAAATCCTAAATTTTTTAGTCCCCAAATTCTTGAAATATTACAAAATGAACCCCAAACTATTAGACATGCTAAAATGGCTCAAAATTCCCATAAGGCACAAAATAATGCCTGGATTTTTTGATAGTGGGGCCACTGAGACTATGACTTTTGAGTCTTCTGATAT